ATAAAAATATGGCTTTAAGTGTCCTCTATAGATGGTGAAGACCGCAGGCCGCTAAGATCTTTCGTTAAAAAGTTATTTGGAAAACGGCAACCGGCACGACCTTTCCGTTTCGATAGTAGCTCTGCAACCTTGACACCAAGACATATAGTCTTCATCATCAGTGACCTCTGTTGATGAATATCAATATCAACACCGAAACGAACATGCCTCACGATTCGGGGTGTTCGGTTCTCGGTTCTGCAGGAGGAACTGGAACCGCGGTTCTGGTTCTGTGAATAGACGGTTCCTTTTTTTGGAACCGAGACTTTTTAATCGTGGATACTACAGTTTTATTTCGAGAAAGCCACATTTAGCGTTCATAAAGTATACTTATGCGCAACTTCTTTTACACGAGATCTTCTATACCTCGCAAGTTAATCGTGATTCAACAAAGATAGAGATGTGTTATTCGAGAAAATGAGTCAGCTGTTAACTTAATAATTTGTCTGATCTTAAAACTGTTAAAATCAGACGATAGAAAAGTACAGAATTGAAAGAAAAAGAACGAGTGTGACTGGACGATTAAATTTATATTTCTTTATGAACTATAAAACGGAAGGGCGAAACAATAATTCCTTCTTTTCTTTCTGCCTTATCTTTTTGTGTTGCCTTTCTTTCAACAAAACGAAAACACACTATTGACAAAGTTATAAAAGGATTTATTGGCCTGCCATCATTTAAAAGAATCCTTTCTTTTACTATAAAATGAGTTTTATTTCGTTGAAACTGCCTAAAAAGTTCTTCTTCGGTTCTAAGCTAAGAACCGGAACCGCGGTTCTTTTCGGTTCGGTTCTAACTCGAGAACCGAGAACCGAAAATCCTTACTCACGATATGATCTTCTTCATCTTACTGTCTTGCAACATGTATATTGCACGCTCTATTCGTTCTAGATCTTCTATGTTCTACTTGCCTATCGGTGATCCTACCATGACTACATCAATATGTTGGATGCGAGGGGGGTCTTTCATCGTCTTCATACTGTTATTCCCATTCTTGATTCTATGTAGACCTCTACTAGATTCTAGTCTTGATTTGAACGAAGTAGTTTATCATGATGAACCATCCGCAATCTTCCTCGGTTCACCTTCCATTGTTCGTTTGTCATCAGGTCGTCTGTTAGCGAGTCACGATTTCTTCGGTCGTGGATATGGTTCACAACCCAGAAATGTGTCAGTATATGGCAGTGATGATGGTGGTCAATCGTGGTTATTTCTTTCATATATACAACACAGTTATTGGACGACATTAGCAGTATACAATGGTACGATCTATGCTATTGGTACTGACAATGACATTAATGGTAACATTATCATACATCGCAGTGCTGATAATGGTGCATCATGGAATTATAACAACAGTGATGATGGTGTGATATTGTTTCATGGTTCATTTGCAACAGGTCCCACACCAATTGTGGTTGCAAATCAAGTCATGTATCGTGCTATAGAGTATTTCCCAGCACCGCATCGTTGGCCGGCTGATTTTCAAGCTGCCATCATCAGTTGCAATCTGTCATCATACAGTAGTGCAGCAGCTGATCCAGTTATGTCTCCCAGCAACTGGCGGTTGACTCCTCCAGTAGTATTCGATAAGAAATGGTTACCATCACCATATCCTAATCTAACAGCGCCTGGCTTCTTAGAAGGCAACGTTGTCATATTATCTGTGCCACCATCAGCAGGAGTATCACAACAACAACTGCGTGTATTGAATGTGTTACGATTCAACTCAGATCCGTTAGCCAATCTTGCTATCATCTTAGAACTAAACCTCACAACTTACACGCTGTCCTTCGTTTCACTGATCGAACTCCCTGGTGGTCTGAGTAAATTCAGTATACGATATGATCCCATCACTCGCACATATCTAACCTTGAGTAATCCTGTCACATCACGCACGGAGACCAGCCAACGCAATATATTAAGCTTATCCTACACTAATGATGTAGTGGGATTGAGTGAATGGCATATCATCTCTGATCGTTTGTTATACGATGACACTGGTTTGACCGAGAATGATAGTCTTCGCTACACAGGCTTTCAATATGTTGATTGGCAATTCGATACATTGTCATCATCTGTCGGTAAGGCGAGTTGTATTGATTGGAACTGTGATGGTGGTCCCGATATGATTTATCTGATTCGTACGGCGTATCGTGGTGCGAATTCTTACCATAACTCCAATCGTATCACATACAAGACGTTACACAACTATCGTGCCTTGATTAAACACCATCAAACAATGTCAGCATAACAGTCATCATTCGATTTCTAACCAGCTAGCTGCATAGTGCGTTCACCAGGTCTTTTTATTCATTGTGGGCGTGCAAGAATACAAACTTTAATGCGATCCTACACTATGAAAATAAAAAGTTCAGTATTTTTCAGCAAGAAAGTCTCTAGCGTCTCCCGAATTGAAAGCTATGACGATAGACCCATCGAACTCCGCATAAATGCAAAAAAACGTCGTTGTTATCGTGATAAAAAAATATACTTGGCATGCACAAAGTTCAAAGTAAAAGCCTTCCGAGCTATACCGCTTAAAAGGTCGTGCAAATAAAACTATTAGGCGGTGTCTTTCTTAATAAGGTTGGTAATTTCTAGAACTTTGGTCGCGTCTGTGTAGATTTGTTGTAACTGTTTACCATCCTAGTAGAATTCACCATTTTTGAGCTACGATATCTTTAAGGCGACACTTATCACTCTCACTTGAGTTGAAGCACGTCCATGGTCTGATACCGTAAATGTATTCATATCTGCCGTCT